GCGCCGGGCTCCGGCAATACAAACTGAAACACACATACTCACGGTAACACACCCACTCCCAAACACACTCCGGCCCCGTCCCGCCCCGCCCCGCCCCGCTCTCTGCCCGACTGTTTTACACACTCACTGTACCGCTCCAGGACGAAAATGGAAACAATGCCGCGACCGTCCCACGGGTGGGCAAGAAGCTAGCAGCTCGGAGGCGTGGCGGCGCGTTGCGCCCGGCCCGAAACGGCGAGCAGTTTGGTTCGAAAAGCAAGGCCGGGCCGGGCGGGGCGGGTGGGGGCGGGGGGCATTGTATCACCGGGCGGTATGGGAGTCAGAGTTCGCTCCAGCAGCAGTACAAACTCGAGCAATACGTCGACTAGCGGCGGAGTACGCCCTCCAGGGGGTCCTCCAGGGGTCCCCCAGCGGGGGCGGGTGCAGGAGGCCGAGGCCGGTGGGAGGGCGGAGGTGGAGGGGCACTCCAGTCTGGATCGAGTCCTTATGGCAGAGCGGCCAGTGTGCCGAGCCGCCGGTCAGCAGACTTTGCCGAGAGGGCAACGCATCCCTCTTATGCTGACCCCACTCTCTAGCCTCCTCTTCATCCCCCACACCCCCCACCCCCTACCCTCTTGCCCCCGCACCTCACGGATCGCCAAACAATCAACCTCATATGTCCGACCGATGCCCGGAGGCGCGCTGCAATCCGCTCACACTGCTAGTTCCCTCATTCACCTGCCGCTGTTTGCTCATCACCGCCCCCGTCAGGCCACAGCGGCAGGAGGGCACTCGACTACCGGAGCACGCCGGGAAAAATGCAACTACGAAGTACCACTTTATTTTCACACTAAAAATAAGTGTTCGTTGAAATAAAACAAACAAAACATTCCCGACGAAAGTATTGAAATAAAAAATATGAACAAAAATACTTGAGGAAAATAAAAACAAATGATTGAAAATAAAAAAATCAGTGTACTTGGCGGAGGGAAGTGAACCCTCGGTCGCTGCAAGAAGGGCGCCGCGGGCCGCCCTTTCCGTGACGGGTCTGCCCATCAAATCGAGTGGCCGGGTTATTATCATGTTAAAACATTCACCACAACGCGCTTGTGGCTAGTAGTAGTAGTAGTAGATGGTATCGCAGCTCGGTTCTGCTTGTGCAGGCGTGGTGCTCGCGGTGGGGCGCTTTGGTCCTTGCCGCGGCGCTACTCTCCGCGGTCCTCGCGGACCCGACCCCCGAGCCGTCGCCCGCACCCTCCCCAGCGGCGCCGCCCACGACGTCCACCACCACCACGACGACTACCACCACCACCAACACGGCAGCGGCCAGCTCGACGGCGGCCTCGCCCAGCGTCAGCGACGAACCCGGGCCGCCCCGCAGCACGCGGTCCGACGCTGCCGTCGCGGCCGACCCCCTACTAGAGGCCGCTGGCGAGGATGACGGCGAGGAGGGCGGTCCCAACCAGAAGCGCGAGGACCGCAACAAGGACGAGCGCGGCCAGGACCGCGACATGGAGCGCGGCCAGGACCGCGACGACCAGGCGACTCGTGAGCAGCACCAGGTGAGTGACGGCCAGCCAGAACTCTAAAAAAAACCTTGCAGGAATGATCAAATTGAAGAACTAAATTCTTTAAAACAAAACATTTCAAAAAAAACATTTGCGAAAATTGTGACAGTTTAGTTGATTTGATCACGCCTTTGTTGTCGTCGTCGCAGGTCGCCATCCTGAAGCAGATCAACCGAGTCAACGAGGACGGCTCGTACACCTTCGGCTACGAGGCCGCCGACGGCAGTTTCAAGATCGAGACGCGCGACGTGCTCGGCCACGTCAAGGGCATGTTCGGCTTCATCGACGAGAAGGGCCAGCTCAAGCGCGTCTCCTACACGGCCGCCAACGGCACGGGCTTCCAGGCCGACCCCACGCCGCCCGCCGCGCCCGCCGCCCCACAGCAGGTGCCGGGGGCGGTGTACCAGCAGGTGAGCGCCCCGCCCCTCCCCCCTCACCCCATCCGGAGTGGTGGAGGCCGTCTGCAATTTAGGTCATTTTAAGGGGTGGTTTACATGGGTGCTGGACATCTCGCCTCAGCTAACCCGCCCCGATTTCGAGGTGAGTCCCGGATGGTACTGGGCCAAAATAGAGCTGGGTCGAGCTGGCCTGGATTCGGTTTACACCACAGCGTTCGGGCCAGTCGTTAATAGGAATAGGAGAAGCTTTTTTTTTTGGCGCTGGGCCGTGGAGAAGTATGAGGGGATGAGTCAACTTCCCGATGTGATTTTCTGTACACTTCCGATGCTCCAAACGGACGTCAGAGGTGGATAAAAATGTTCCCCACAGGGATACATTTGTCGGGGTCTCTAGGACACTTTTCTCAACGCCGCATACTTAAGACGATATTCGTGTACGATTCCGCTCTATGTGTGACCCTCGCCAGGTTATCCGGCCCACGGCCCGCCGGAGACCCAGCGCCGTCCGGCTGGTAGTGGCGCCGCCGACCTCCACGGCGCCACCCGAGGCCCGCGGCGACCCCGTCATCCAGCAGATACCCCGCCGACACAACGGGCTGTCGTCCACCGCCCTGCCCGCGACGTCCACGTCCTCGCCGTCGCTGTCCTCGACGCGCGCCCCCGGCCGCCACGTCCTGGTGCTGGCCACGCCGGCACCCGGCGCTGACGGCAGCACGCCGACGCCCGCGCCGTACGGCCAGTTCGTGCGGCGCACCGAGCCGCGCAGGCCCGTCCTGGTGCTGGGCTCCCCGACCACGGCCGCCTCCACGTCCACCACGTCCACCACGGCGGCGCCCGTGACGGAGGACAGCGCCAGCGGCGGTGAGCGCGACGGGCGTGTGGGAGGGGGCACCGCGGGGACCATCCCCCGCGGCCAGCGGAGCCAACGCGAGATTGATGTTGACACTCCTGTTTGCAGAAGCGGCGGACGGCAGCCGGGACCGCGAGGGCAACGAGCTGCGGAGGCAGCTGCCGCTGCCACCCCTGCCGCCGCTGGGGCCGCTGTCCGCGCTGGCCGCTGACCGCGACGTGGACCCCCTGGGGCTGTCCGGTCTGTCCCCCGGCGCGGGGCAGCTGCTGCGGCTGCTGTCCGCGCCCGGCGGGCCCGCCCCGCTCGGCCGCGGCGACACCGGCGACGTCTACGGCGGCGGCGGCTCCAACGCGGCGTCCGGCGCCGTCCCGCACGGCCTGCACGCGCTGGGCACGGCGCCGCACTACTCGGGCGTGCTGCGCCAGGGCCCGCGCGCGCTGCAGCAGCAGCTCCTGCAGCAGCACATCCTCGCCGACCTCGACCTCACGCCGCGGCCGCGGCCGCCACAGGTGGGCGACGAGACAACCGGACTGGGCGATTGATACACTTTGGCCGCGCCCTGCGGATCGCTGCGTAGTTTTTATTTTTATTTTTCTCGCCGCTGCCTGTTGCACGCGACACAGGGAGTGGCGGGGCGAGGCGGGGCGTTCCGGGGCGGGGCGGGGTGTGGTGGCGCTACGCTAGGCGAGGCGACAGCAATACAGCCGGCCCGCGAGCCCCGGCTGGCCGCTGGCCTGGCGCCTGGGCCACACCCATTGTTTGTCCATGCGACCTCCAAGTCACCCGTCCGCGCCCAGACTCCACGCCGCCGGGGGTCCCGCGGCCGGTCCCAGGGTCCACGCCGTGTGACGTCACGCAGCGCAGCGCAGCGCCTAGCCGCGCTCTATTCCCAGGCGTGATTAACATAGCTTGGGACCGCGGCTCGCTTGCGCGCGCGCCCCG